AGGAAGCCCGTCTCGACGGGTGCCGAACGGCCTGGCAATGGGACCGACTGAAAGGGGGCCGTCGACGCCCGCGGCGGGTCAGCCCGTTCGGTATATTGAGATCTCTTGTTTCCAAATAAATTCATTGTCAATTGCAATTAGACACCCTTGTATGCAATTTGGCAACCTCAGGATTCAAAAAAAAATGTATGGATGAGTTTCAAACTAATCCAAGGCAAAAGAAGAAGGTAAAACAAAGCGTTAAGAGAGAGAGGAAATTTAATGATGACGACGAAACCTTATTGGAATTAACCACAACAACCTAAGGAAACACGAGCCACTAGTGCGTTTGTACAATCTACACTACCTATTAGGATCCAAATATCGTGTTCAAATTGACACGTTTTTGTGTAGATTTCTTCACAGGAAGGTCACTATCATAAGATTAAAGGATTTCTTCTCCTTTAGATCAATTATTTGCAAATTGGAAATTAAAAAAAGTAGCAGTTACCTCACCTGTGCTTCCTTAATAGAAAATCATACACCTTCAGAAGGCAAACGAAAAGGTGAAAAAGGCATATAGGTATATACATCTATTAAATTCAGGTCTGGATGTGGATGAGAAAAAGATAAGTTAAAATATACACAGTCAAAACATCAGGGTATAATAAAGAGGAGTCAAAGTAAAGCAGAAAATATAAATAAAAATGTTTATCAAGTCAGAAAATGGCTGAAATGGTAATATGCATACAATTTTGTAGATCACACGGCAAACATATCGACCGGATTTTAGAGATAAAAACAAAAATAGCTGTATAGAATTATACCCATTGTCAGTGTGCTTGGGGGGATATAGAAAAGGAACAGAATCCGTTTGAAGCCAAATAAGTAAAAGAGTTTGGCATCGATGCACGCCTATAGTTTCCCCTCAAAAGCGTTTTTGATTCACACGCTCTCAATCGGTCGCCTCTTTCCACAGCGTGGAGCCGGCCGCAGTGGAAAGGCCGATCAAAACCCGTAGAGCCTCCGCCGGGATCCGCCGAAGTGAACCCTCCGGCGAGAGGCTATAGCTCGTGAAGAGAGCTTCCCTCGCCTTGATTTCTAATTTTTCATCTTTTTTTTCCCGCTGGTCATGGATTTTGCGCGGGCTTCGTATTCGACCGGGGAGGGCCGCGAGGAGGCCGCGGGCGGAAGGCGCCAGCAGCTCCCGCAGCAGAGTATTCAAGACCCGGAGCAGGGCATGCTGCCCTCTTTCCCCCTCAACGCTGTTATTTTTATACAATGAAAGTGGCGCGAGAAGAAACCCGCACGCCGCGTCGCCGATCTTCGCCACGGTATTTAACGGCCGCCATGCGCAGCAGCAAACGGTGAACAAAAAGCGAAGGCTAAAGCAGTTTGCGTGCTCGAGAATACGCCATGGGAGGTGGTCTGCCGGGCAGGAGTGGATCCGAATCAGCGGCAGCTGCAACGGGAGGTTCTCGACGCTCATCAGGGACAGAATCGGCGTGTTGCGCAGTATCTCCAGCCGTTTGCCCTCCGTGAGGGCGTTCAGGAGGCCTTTTTTGCTCTCAAAAGACCCCGAGAGGATGATTTTGGTGGGGTAAATCACGAAGACGCGGAAGTACAAGGGCGGCGGAAGCTGCCAGTCGCCGGGCTCCCGCCCATGCCGCGTGGAGGCGGAGCGGGGGGTTAGCGGGAGCTCGCCCTCGGCCTCGCCGTCCCCGCCGAAGTCGAGCAAACGGAGAAAAAAATCAAGCGAAGGGCCGCTCCAGCTGAGCGCGAGGGGCTGCAGGCGGAGCTCGAGCTCCTCCTCGGGGTTGGCCTCGGCGGTGGGGCCCGGGAGGAGGTGTGAGGGGTGGCGGGGGTGGACCGTCAGCCAGGTGGCCTCAAGAAAGTGGCGGGCCGCGGGCCACTCCGTGGGGGTCGATCGGGGCCGGGGCCAAAAGCGGCCGGGCCGGGGCGGGGCCGGTGGAGACCGCGTGGCCCCCGCGCAGGTCATCG